TGGTGAGTGTGTGTGTGTGTGTGTGTGTGTTACTCAGTTACTCCCATATCACCTTCAGAACACTAAAGAAGTGAAACTGTGTGTGTGTGTGTGTGTGTGTGTGTATCAGCTACTCCCGGTAGATTAATTGACCATCTAGAGAACACAAAGGGATTTAATCTTCGAGCTCTGAAGTTCCTGGTGATGGATGAAGCAGATCGGATCCTCAACATGGACTTTGAGTCTGAGGTAAATTATGATTACACGCGACACACGATAAGGTCAGATCTGTTTCTCAGATCCTGAGCTTCAGCCCTTCTGTGTGTGTGTCAATCTCTCTGTCTCTCAGGTTGATAAGATTCTGAAGGTGATTCCCAGAGAGAGACACACATTCCTGTTTTCTGCCACCATGACGAAAAAGGTACACACACATACACACACACACACACACACAGAGTCTCTTTTCTCCATTTCATTTTTCGCTCATATGAGAATTGTAGTGAGAAGCTTAATTATTGCTGATAAATACTAATAAACGTGCACTATTCATTTCAGAACTCTGTGTGTGTGTGTGTGTGTTGTATGTTTAGGTCCAGAAATTGCAGAGAGCTGCCTTAAAGGATCCGGTGAAATGCGCCGTTTCTACCAAATACGCCACAGTGGACAAGCTGCAGCAATATTACATATTTATCCCGGCTAAATATAAGGTAATAAACAAGGAAATAGCAAAAACCCTGTTCATATTTATAATCCGAGTGCTCTGGTATGAAAATTACACGGTAAGATAAACTAGTATAAAAATATCCCGGATTCACGCTATTAACCGACTTAAATTAAAACACATGCAACTAGTGCTGGGCGATTTTCACGATTAATTCAGTTAATTCGAATAAATGGTTTAACGCGGTTTTCAGAATGTTCTAATCGAGATTGTACACGTTTTTATATATATATATATATATATATATATATATATAGTTAAAACACCCATACATGCTATTTAAAAGTTTAAACCAATACGAAGGAAAAACACAGCCTTCTCTAAGATAAACAGGCAGTACTTCGCAAGGACTGAGCTCGTAGCAAAGAAAGGTTCAGATATCACTTCAGAGATGTGGAACTGCTACAGGTTTGAAAAGTCAGATGAACAAGTTTATGTAAAATATAACGCTGCATTACATCCTAAGCAGTAATTTGCTAGTCGGAATGACGTCATTTTCGACATCAGCAGGTTCGACAGACGCAGTGGGAAACTGGACGCTCCCATGTTCGTGTTTTGTGTATTTTCTTTCTGAAACAGTGAACTGTAGAGTCAGAGTTTTAGATTTAATAAACGAATATGTCTGTGTGTTGATTAATCTAAAGCTAATACTTGTGTATACAGTGTAACTCATTTAAAGGTAAGAAGTTTTACTGTGTTTATTTCTGATGCTGTGAGCAGCCGTGTTGATTTAACGTCACTCCGTAAACAGGGAAGGAATTCGGATTTGAGAAGAATAACCCGAGTTAACTTCTCTTCTCAATTGCGGTGGCATTTCATGTCACGAAAGACTCGGTCCCCATTTACTCTGTCAAGAAAGAAGCATTCACTTCTTGTGCAAAAAAAGTTGTGCAAAAATAGTAATGGCGCCATCTATATCAAAAAGTGCAATCAGTGTTGTCTTTTTTTTTTCTTTAAATGTCCTTTATTTAAAAGAACCATTGTTTGCACTATTTGCTGTAGATGGTGCTGTTTCTATTTTCCAAAAGTCCATTATAATAATAAATAAAAAACTTTATAATATTGCGTAATTTTTCAACTGCATTATGTAAAAAAATAAATAAATAAAAATTTAAATTGTAATCAGGAATCGTTCTTAAAGCTGAAAAAAATCAAGATTTTTTTTTCCTCCCCCGATATGCAACCTGGTCATGAAAATGAGAGGACAGATTTAATATCGAATCTTTATACAAAAGTTTCTTTCCACATCACTGGTTATATTACAAGAAGGATAGATTACATTTTTCTTCTTATTTCTGAGAATGACATCTTATGCCTGTGAGAAAAGGCAGCTTGCTGAGCCAGTAAAAATCTGACTAGCGTGGCAGTGTGCAGCGCTGCGTAAGCAGAGAGAGCATGATGTTAGTTGTAGTTCTGGTCAGCGATGCCGTGGTGTTCTCTGCTGCTGATAGCCGTCGTGTATGATAAAGTCGGGAAGATGCTCAGTGTGACGGCAGAGGCAGCAGTGTAAAGTGTTTACAACAGTGGTGGATTAAACACAGGAAAGACTTCGGTGCAGTTGTGTCTCTGTGTCAAAAACAGCTGAGCGCCACTGGAGTAAGAAAATTGATGGGGAAATTAATGTGTAGATTTTAATAGATGTAAATTTTACCTGATATTTTGAGAAAGTCGACGGTGATCATCCACTATGACTAATAATGAAACAGGCCCAACCTTCATTTAAATACTATATTACATACCCACTCATCTACTCCGTGTGTGTGTGTGTGTGTGTTTCAGGACTGCTACCTGGTCTCCATACTGAATGAATTAGCTGGGAACTCGTTCATGGTTTTCTGCAGTACGTGTAACAACACACAACGGGTGACGCTGTTACTGAGGAACCTGGGAATCACTGCCATCCCACTCCATGGACAAATGAGTCAGGTACACACACACACGTGACACACACTTGACACACTCGTACCTCTTTTGTTGTACTTTGTGCCCCCTAGTGGGGACCGGGACTGCTTCATGGACTTCAGATATGCATTTTCTAGACTTGTGTAAACACATTGTTGCCTTCTTGAGAAAATAAACACACATGCACTGTTACACACCTGGGAGGTTGGGGGTGGGGGTGCTGCTGCGAAGAAACCAGGGACTCACCAGTTTGTGTTGTTTGTGTTGTGTGTAGAATAAACGTCTAGGTGCTCTGAATAAGTTCAAGGCGAAGTCTCGCTCTGTGCTGCTGGCGACGGACGTGGCCTCTCGTGGTTTAGACATTCCGCATGTAGACTGCGTCATCAACTTCGACATCCCCACACACTCGAAGGTAAAAAAACTAAACTAAAAACTTCACTAAAGTAAAAAAAGACAGTTATTGTTAAGTATTCTGTCAGTGCATGAGGGTTGGTTGTAAAGTGTGTATGTATGTGTGTGTGTTTCAGGACTACATCCACCGGGTGGGCAGAACGGCCCGAGCAGGACGATCCGGAAAATCCATCACATTCGTTACCCAGTAATCCAATAAAGCACGCTCAACACACTGCTCGTAAACCGCATTTAACACACAGTAAATACATAAATAAATAAATAAATAAATGAGACAGTGATCACTCTAACCCTGCTAATAAATCTCACTTTACACAGTCTATAAATAAATGATGCTTTTTAACACTGTAAATAAACCACATCTACACAGTAAATTACTCTCAGCACTGTAAATGCATTACATTTAACACAGATAAAATAAATTACATTAGATAAAAAAAGCTACTGGTCGGATTAAATCAATTAACACATTCAATAAGTCACATTTAACACTGTAAATGAACCAAACAACACTGTAAAAAAACAAAGATATAAAAAAAACATACATCACACATCGTGTAAATCTTTAACGGTTAATAAATACAGTCAGTGGATAATTTCTACTCAACACATTGCTCTTATTTAACAATCATAAAAAAAACTTATACTAAGCATAGTATTAGATGCACTTATGTCAGTTTAAATCAGTTAATGCAGTGCAATAACCACAATTAAGGATGTTGACACTATAAATAAATGATTTAAATATTTAAAAAACAACACACTTTATGCAGGCAATAGAAATAAGTGGTGGTCATGAGCACACAGCACAGAGCAAATTAGTTTCTTTCCACTGAAAAGGTGCAGCTTTCTCATTGTTTAATGTTGTGTGTTCTGTCTTCAGGTATGATGTGGAACTTTTCCAGCGTATTGAAACTCTGATTGGGAAGAAACTTCCTGCTTTCCCCACGCAGGAAGAGGAAGTGATGATGCTAGTGGAACGAGTGAGCGAGGCGCAGAGATTCGCTCGACTCGTACGTGTCGTTTTTTACTTTTAACGCTTAATGCTGGCTGTGTTCAACTTATTCAGATTAAAAGCTCACCTACATCTTTCTCTCTGCACAGGAGATGAAGGAGCAGGGAGAAAAGAGGAAAAGGAAAGGAAGAGACGAAGAAGGCGATGACGCCGAATACTCAAGCGGTGTGCGAAAAAAAGTGAAAGGAGGAAAATTTGCAGGGGGAAGGGGTGGCGGCTCCAGGAGAGGACGCTAGATACACGCTTCCTCAAATGAAACGTCCTTGTATATAATACATTAGTGATACATCATTGTCTGTTTCTCATTAAATAAATGTTGTTTCTTCAAACTTCTGTGCAGTCAGTTAATTTACTTGTCAATCACTTAACAGCTAGATTATGGAATACACCTTGAGATGATCAAATGATTCAGTTTCTGTCTAGTTTGGAGCATAAAATGGTTGTTAAACAACTTACCATCTCATGCATTCACACTGTCAGCAATTCTTTACCGTGATATTTCAGCTGTGTTTGTTTATATCATTAAAAATATGGAAATTATGTTAATAGTTCATCCAGATTTAAGTGTTTGTGCTCCAGTTTGGACAAATGAACTAATATCAATAATATCTCTCTTTTTTAAGAGAGAGAATCATGCAATTATGGGATTCATGCATATCTGTGAAAATTGGCACCTCCAAAATATCCAGAAGTTTCCATCCTCTAAATTATGTTCATCTGTATGTGTCACAGAGAAAGAAGTATACCAGTTAGGAACTCTAAACCCAGTCTTTTATTAAATAGGTGCACTGGGCTGAGGAAGAAAGCACCTCGGTCTTCTGTGTAACAGAATGAGATACTGTCCACTATACTAACGAGGAACACAGAGCATGGTCCAACAAACATAGGCTTTCCCACCCTCCGGAGGATTTGTGAGGGTGGGTGATCACAGGAGGCAAGGAAACTAATAAGAGGACTCTTTAAAGCGGCTGTGCTGTAATGGCTGAGTGGTTAAAGTACTGGGTTTGAAATCCAGTAGGGTTTCCTTGTGCAGGTTTGAGCCCTGCTTGCAGTGTGATAGTGGGGAGTTGGTTATTGCATCTCTATACTATACTAGCAAAGAATGCAGAGTATGGTCTAACAAACATGGACATTCCAAACCTTAAGGAGGCATGTGAAGAATCACAGGAGGCAAGAAATCGAACATGACGACTCTTGTCAGTGGTTGTGCTGCGATGGCCAAGTGGTTAAATCATTGGCCTTGATGTCTGCTGCTGTTGCCCTGTGTTCAAACCCGTGCATCAGCTGTAGGTGTTAAGGTGCTGTTTTGCTGTGTCCTAACGAATTCTTTAAGTTGCACATGCTGCATTTGCATGCTTTTTCACTTACAACAAATCAACATAATAAGGGCAACATACAAGAAATTGTAAAGATGATTGGCATGTAGGAGAGAGCAGAAATTAGACAAGCCAACAAATTGCAGAAATGGCCTCTCTCCTGCACCAGTGCTGCGATGGCCGAGAGGTTAAGGCGTTGGACTCGAAATCCAATGGGGTTTCCCCGCGCAGGTTCGAACCCTGCTCGCAGCGTGTCAGCTGTAGGTGAATGTGCTGTGAAAGCCTTCTTATTGTGTGAGGTGACCACACAAAGACCATGTACTTTGGAAACCTTAGTTTCTGCTGACGATGTCTGTAGAAGGATTTGCAATGGGCTGACCAAGAGAGCACCTTAAAATTCATACTGCCATATCTAATGGAAAACAAACCTCCACACTGAGGAATCAAACCCCGGTCTTCCATGGGAGAGGTGGTAACACTGGCCACTAAACACTACACAGACTTTCCAACCCTTGAGGAAGCTTGTACCAGTTGGGAATCACCAGGGCTAGAGAAACAAACATGACAACTCTGTGCACAGCTTTCTGCACAGTGGAATCCTAGGAACATGTACTTCATGGCTCAGGTCCTTTGGAGTGCAGGGTCAGCTGCTACAAATATTCTATGAGTCCGTTGTATCAAGTGCCATCTTCTACACTGCTGTGTGCCAGGGCTCCCACCTGCTCCATTCAACAATCACTGCACAGAGGAGTACACGGAGCCTCTGTGCAGAAAGGAGCACTTTGTAGGTCCTTTCTCCCTGCAGCCACCAGACTGTACAACTCCACACATAACTTCTCCACTACTACTACGTGGAGGTTAGACAGCATACTTTAAGAATGCTGCACAATGACATTTTTGCACACTGTTGTAACCTGTATATGTGTATCTGGTTATACTCTGTCTCATTTTGCACATAATCTATATTCTGTGTACAGTCGTGGGGAAAAAGAAATTACACCTTCATTCAGTTCTACGTTTTTACTTATCAGGGCCTAAATAACAATCGTGTGGTCCTCACCAACTTCTATAAAACAAAAAAAACATACTGTAGAACCTCAGGTGACTACAAAAAAAAACAAATTTCAATATGTAGTCATTTTTTTCCCAAAAAGTAAACCAACATTCAGAAAACAGGTGAGAAAAAATAAGTACACCCTATCGTTTAGGAGAAATTTTGCCCCACTCTTCTTTACAACATTGCTTCAGTTCATTGATGGTTGAGGGCATTCGTTTATACACAGCTCTCTGAAGATCCCACTACAGCATCTCAGTGGGGTTGAGGTCTGGAGTTTGACTTGGCCATTCCAACACCTTGATTTGCTGGTGTGTTTGGGATTATTGTCCTGTTGCATGACCCAATTTCAGCCCAACTTAAGCTGCTGGACAGATGGTCTCACACTTGTCTCAAGAATATGCTGGTATAAAGTGGAGTTCATCATTGTCTCAATGACTGCAATTGTCCCAGGTCCTGTGGCTCCAAAACAAGCCCAAATCATCACCCTTCCACCACCATGCTTCACAATTGGTACAGTATGAGGTGTTTGTGGCAATATGCTGTGTTTGGTTTTCACCAAACATGGCACTGTGCATGAAGACCAAACATTTCTACCTTGGTCTCAGCAGTCCAAAGGATATTGTTCCAGAACTTTTGTGGTTTGTTCAGATGCAATTTACAAACCTAAGTCATACTCCATATTCTTTTTAGAGAGAAGGGACTTTTTCCTAGCCACCCGTCCATGAAAGCCATACTCGTTCAGTCTTTTTTGGATTGTGCTGCCATAAGCATAAACATTTAATGTGCTTAGAGGCCTGTAGATCACATGGTGTAGTTCTGCGGTTTTCTTTATATATCATTAAAGTCTGAACTTGGACTGAATTTGTTGGGACGCCCACTCCTGGGAAGATTGATAACTGTCTTGAAGTCTCTCCATTTGTAAACAATCCTTCTCACTATAGAATGGTGAATTTCAAATTGTTTGGAGATGGCCTTATAACCCTTCCCAGCTTGATGAGCAGCAACAATTGCTTCTCTGAGGTAATGGCTGTCCTTTCTTCTTGGCATGATGTAGACACACACCTGAGTGCTCCACATCACCATCAAAAGTTCTGCCAAAAGTTCTGCTTTTATAGAGGTAGTCACACTTCTTGATTATTAACTAATCTTGCGCATTTCATTAGTAACACCTGGCTGTTGATTACTCTCTTAATAATTGTCGAAATAAGAAGGTTGTACTTATTTTTTCCCATCTGGTTTTTGAATGTTGGTCTACTTTTTGGGAAAAATTACTATATATTGAAATCTGTTGTGTGTGTGTGTGTGTGTGTGTGTGGGGTTTTTTTTTTTTTTCGTCACCTGAGGTTTTTTTGTTTGTTTGTTTATAGACATTGGTGAGGACCACACAATTGTTATTTACACCCTGATAAATAAAAACATAGAATTGAAGGAGAATGTACTTTTTTTCCCCCATGACTGTATATTGCTACAATTTTGTATATTTGTACATTCTCAATTGTCTCTTGTCCGCTGCTGTAACACCGGAATTTCCCACCTGAGATTAATAAAATTTTATACTATGTCAGGTTCAAATACCGATCAACGGCTGATGGTTTTAAGCCAGTGACAATGTAACTCTATGTTTTTGTATATGTAGCATAAAGAAGCATTAAATTAAAACCATTTAAAGTGCACATGAATCAGTTTGTGTTTTGATTGTCACCCCAAAGGAAAGGCAAATCTACGTAGATCACTTAAACTGTTTGAAATCGGATCTCCTGTATCTATGAACCACATATAAAAACATGTCAAATGCCTCAGTTGCTGACCTTAGAACTTTTTATACTAGCAAGCTTAAGCTACCGAACTTTGGGCAAT